TATGCCAAGAAAAAAGTCAGAGAGGGTTATGTTGTTTGCATACACAAACGCCCACAACACGCAAGACATCGTTTTATGTTGGGGTGTGAAGTGCCCTCTGCTTACCCATGTTTCAAAGTTCCACAAGCTGCACAGTTTGGAAGTGTTTTGTGACTGTACTTGTATTTATTTGGAAAAATAGTAATTAAATTTTTTTTGTATTTTTTGTTTGTGTAAACAAAGGTATACAAAAATAATGTGATAAAGTTTGTCTGTTATTGTGTTGTAAAAAATGAGTGTATTTTGGAAAAGACCTTAATTTGGGCTCACAGGGGACGAAGTTACCTGGAAAAAAAAAAATATTTAAAAATGCAAGAAACCCTTTGAATTAGAGTAAATAAAAGAAAACCGGGGGGGGCGGCGTCGCCGCTGTTGCCGTCGACGTCATTTCTGCAAACTTTGGGCCCCTATTCCGGTAAAATATGTGGCAAAAAAATTTTTTTTTGGCTTAAAACATCACAAAAATATTCCTAAAATTTTTTTAAGAAAAAAAATTTTTTTTTCTCGAATATTTGGGACATGAATGACAGTTTTGAGGGGGCCTGAAAAAAGTCAAAGAGTTAAAAAAATGTCGACGAAAAGGGAAAAAGGGGGGGGAGTAATTCTCATGGCCAGGGGGTATATCATCTTTTAGGAGTGAAGGGAAGGGTGTAAGTGTGGGGGAGGGGCAGAGGTTCATAGAATAAAGGGGGGGTTTTTTAAAACAGCAGGAGTGACGGGATCATGATAGAAATGTTAAAAACGGGGGGGGGGGCATAGTGTTGCAGTGGATGGTATTTTTTTTTTAAAAAAAGTATGAAAGAGGGGGGGGACTAGGGATTGGGGAGAGGGATGTATAGTCCCTTTATAGAAAGGGGAAAGGGGGGCAAAAGAGATTGTAAAAAATTATAGAGGAATAAGTTTTTGAGTATACCCGAAAAAAGGGCGTAGGGTTATTATTGAAAAAAATTAGAGGCAACAGGGAAAGTGAATTGGGTGGCAAGGAGGTTTTTTAGTGGGTAGGGGATTGTAGTAAGTGTTTACATTGAGCTATATGTGAGCAGTATGTAGATAAAGGGAGGGAAGTTTTTATTGATTTTTGGATTTAGAAAAGGCATTGATAGGTGGTGTAGTATATAAAATTCTTAAAAAAAGTGTTTATTATTTCTCCCCAACAGCCCCTTCAGTTATACTGAAGGATATTTTTAACCCGTATTTCGGTTCAAATGTATTACAGTGGCCCCCAACCAGCGATGGCACGATTAAAAGATAAAAACTGACAGCGATACATTTTTTCGCAAAAATTTTTGCCCCGACTAGCACTTAAAAACGGCTATTGTTCCGTTAGCGTCCACTTTGGTGAGCGCGCCTCACTTTTCCCTTGGGTGCTGGTTTTAAACCCGCGCCACCGCGGTCACTTCCAAAACATAAATGGGGAAAATTTCTTTTTATCACAGCCTTTATGTGATTCACTGCAAAATAAGCATATGGGCCCCAAGAAAGCTTCTAGTGCCAAAACCCTATGCAAAAGGGTGAAAATTACTATGGAGATGAAGAAAGAAAATCATTGCAAAGTATAAAAAGTGGAGTGGTGTCTTGAGCTGGTCAGGTTTGTATAATAAACCCCAATAAACCATCCTACATTGGGGAAAGAAAACAGAATAAGGGAAAGCTGTTCTTGCCAAAGGTGAACTATTTTTTTCAAAACTGAGACGCAAGTGATAGAGTGTTGAGAGGTGTTTTGGGTGTGAATAAACGGAAACAGATAACAGGAGACAGCATCTCCAAGCGATCATATGTGAAAAGGAGGGTTGCATACGTTTTAAATTTACAAAAAAATCCCAGCAACTAGTGAGTGGTGTTTAAAGGGGCCAGTAAAGGTTGGTTTGAGAGATTTAAGAAGTTAGGGCATTCTGTGTGAAAAGGCATGGTGAGGCTCCCAGTTCAGCCCACAAATCGGCTGAAAAATATGTGCAGGACTTCAAGGAGTAAATAGACAGTGAGGCCTAAAAACCGAACAAGTGTTTAATTTGACAAAACGGGCCTTTTTTGGAAAGAAAATCCCAAAGCAGGAGTAATTCTGGAGGAAAACCCCCCTCCAGGCATAAGTATGAAAGACAGGCTTACTCTGTTGATTGTCCAATGCTAGTGGGGGTTTGCAATGTGAAGCCTTTATTGTGTATCACCTGAAACTCCCAGAGGGTTCAGGAAAAAAAATGTCCTAAAGGGCTAATTTGTGTGTGCTGTGGAGGGCAAACAGTAAGGCATGGGTCATGGGACTTTTTTATGTGGTTATACCTGCATTTGCCCCCCCAAAGTGAAAAATTTCCAACTGAAAAGAAATTAGACCTTAAATGCTCCGGTATTGACAATGCTCCCGGTATCCCTTTGATTGGCAGAGCGACTTTCTAGGGGCATGAGTTTCATTAAGGTGAAGTTTTTGCCTCCCAATACCATCCTCTCCTGGCCCTTGGACCAGCAGGTTTTTTCCAAAATTAAGAAACTGTACACAAAAGCTATGTTTTTTAAAGGTGCTTTGTAGTAAACCCCAGAACTCAATGCCAAAAAGAATTTTGGAAAAAATCATTTTTACCTCCTCAAATTTTGTAAACATTATAGGTAAGGCTTGGGGGGAAGTGACTAAGAGGACATTGAACTCTGTTGGAAAAAACTTGGCCAGAATGTGTGACAAAAGGGGTTTGAAGGTTTGAGGCTAACCCCGAGAAAACTATGCTAGTTTAGGAATCCATTGTGGGATTGGGGGGTCCCTTTGGGGGTTGGAGGTTAGTGGGGGGATTGGGGAAGAGTTGGTGGTGGGGAAGTGAAGAATAACCCCTGTGAGTGCTAGATCATCTTGAACAGCAAGAGGGTAAAACCTGAGGAAACCCGCTTGGAAAGGGGGGGAGAGAAATGAAGAGTTGCCTACTTTAAAATAAAAGGAAAAGGGGCAAAGTGGTTGAAAGTGCAAAACCCTTTTTTTTGAAATACCCTGAACAGCTTGCAAGCCCCTGTTTGGAACCTGTACATGACAATGTTGTGAACCACTTTGGAAAGTCTAAAGGAACGAGAGGTAAGGTATCTATGGACAGTATGTTGTGCGACAGAAGTCCAGTGATCTGAAGTGGTCCTGTGGCATTTTAAAAAAACAAGGGAAGTAACCCAGAAAAAAATTGCTGCCTAAGTGCTAATGGAAGGGGATTCCCCTTCTAAAACTAAGACCTCAACCACCCCCTCTTTTCCCCTCCCATCAATATACCAGATCTTCAAAAAAGGTAAGGTCATGTAATGTGCTGTAATCTTCAGGTTTTTGGTATTAAAATTAAAATTTTTATGTGGTAAAAAATTTTTTTTTTTTCAATACTTTTGGGCGTTTTTTGCCGGATTAATTTATTTCCATTATTTTATGGGGAAAAATTAATTACTAAAGATAATTTTGATAACGATGGCTTCAGGAAGGATTAAAATCGTGGTTGAGGGGCCACTGTATAAGTTTTTTAAATTTGAAAATTGTAAAAAAAAAATTTTTTTTTTTTTTTTTTTGTACATTGAAAACGTGTAAAAAAACTTTGATCTACTTTTTTTTTTGTTAATTTGAAAATATGTAAAAAAAACGTAGATCTACTTTTGGAGCACTACGCATGTGAACGTAGATCTGCTAGGACCCTTTACAGGTTAAAGGTTGACATTGTAGCATATTAGTTTATCACTACTGTATTCATATTATCTTCCAGAGATAAACTAAGTAGTTACTCCTTTCCACCCTTCCCTATTGGAGTACCTGAATTACAACCATTTGATTGTTATATGATGTTTGTCCTCTTAAGATTTTTTTTTTCTAATTTTACCAGATTTTTTGGAATAAAATGCTTTTCATTGAGACTGAAATTTAAAGTATTTTTCCTTTCACCTATTATGACTACTGGAATGATATTTACCATTTACCATTTGTCCTCCAGTTGAGTAAGATCTACAGGGCCTGCAATGTAGTAGCACAAAATAACTTCTTGCTATGGATTACCTGGAGTATACCTGGAAGGTGTCCCAGGGGTCAACGCCCCCGTGGCCTGGTCCGTGACCAGGCCTCGAGGTGGATCAGGGCCTGATCAACCATGCAGTTACTGCCGGCAGCATGCAAACACATGCCAATTTTATACCATTATGGATTAACTATTCTTTACTGAAAATTACTAACAAAGAAAAACAGAACTGGCACTTCATAATTAAAAGTATTTTTCCATTCAGCATACAGTGATGCAAGTACAAATATATTTACCTGAAGAATCTATGCATAATGAAATGAATATTATGTTTGTTAGGAAACTAAATAAATATGTCATATATTTCCCTTAAATCCCAATTTCTGACAGGCTTATAATTTATGTTTGTTACGCAAACACGACAAAAATTATCAATCACTTCGTTTCCAAATACAGCACTGCTGCCATTCATGAGCCCTTCCAACCAGAACTTGTCAAAATACGTATAGCATCACAAAATACCAATGAAGAAAAATAAAGCTATATTTAATGAAAATTATAAGTTAGTAACTAATAAAAACTATTCTTATTAAACAAAGGGAAAACTTAAATTTCTTTTTGATTCCCATTCAGAAATTTTAACATATATGATACCATAGTCCCCCTAAAAACAAATTAAAAAACACCCTGCATCTCATACAGCCCATGTAATTGTGGCAGTAGTAGAAAACCTGTATGACAATATACACTAAAAGCTTTTTTTCCAAACCTCATGAATTTAGGGTGGGACAAATATGGAGGTTTCTTATACAACAGATAATTACGTAATTTAAAACTAACATTTACAGTACTACATTTAAACAAAACAAAAAAAAAAGCTCAGTTAATATAAAGATGAAATAACGATGAATTATCCAGTTTAGAATAAAGTTGGCAAACTTTTCCCCCGTTTTTAAAATGATATATTAAGTAAGAGTGCAGTCATTCTGCCAGTACTGTACTTACATTTGCCATAGGTATCCTCTGCATACGGATTGATTTCTATCAAAGATGCATCATATGTTATAAATGCATTATACAGAGATTTAATAACACCCACAGTTTCTTCCAAGTGAGTATCAAGGCCCAGCCATTTTGTAAGGTTCTCTGCCTTCTCATCTGTGATACCTGAAAAATGAAAGCTAATAGTTAATATTGTATATCACTTACAAAAACATAACTGCCATCAAATTTGTTCAATCTTTTTTTTTTACCTACAAAATATGATGGTTTTAAAAAATATATAAGCAACTATTGGCAGAAAGGTGGGCTGGTGCAAGTATTAGTAGTGAGGGGAGGGGGGTTGAAGAGGGTTGGAATAGTTTTAAATGCAGTATTAGAATGTGGGGCAGAAGTTTGTTGATACAGGAGGGTGGGTGCAGGAGGAAAGAGGAGTGATTAGTGCAAAGATGAAGTGAACGGTGCGATAAAAGAGAAAAAGATAGCTTATGAGAGGTGTTTACAAAGCAGAAGTGTTATAAGAAGAGTAGAGTATATGGAGAGTAAAAGAAAGGTGAAGAGAGTGGTGAGAGAGTGCAAAAGGAGAGCAGATGATAGCATGGGAGAGGGACTGTCAAGAAATTTTAATGAAAATAAGAAAAAATTTTGGAGTGAGTTAAACAAGTTAAGAAAGCCCAGGGAACAAATGGATTTGTCAGTTAAGAACAGAGTACGGGAGTTAGTAGATGGGGAGATAGAGGTATTGGGTAGATGGCGAGAATATTTTGAGGAACTTTTAAATGTCGACGAAGAAAGGGAGGTGGTAATATCATGCACTGGCCAGGAAGGTATACCATCTTTTAGGAGTGAAGAAGAGCAGGATGTGAATGTGGGGGAGGTGCATGAGGCATTACATAGAATGAAAGGGGGTAAAGCAGCTGGAACTGACGGGATCATGATAGAAATGTTAAAAGCAGGGGGGGATATAGTGTTGGAGTGGTTGGTACTTTTGTTTAATAAATGTATGAAAGAAGGGAAGGTACCTGGGGATTGGCAGAGAGCATGTATAGTTCCTTTATATAAAGGGAAGGGGGACAAAAGAGATTGTAAAAATTATAGAGGAATAAGTTTACTGAGTATACCAGGAAAAGTGTACAGTAGGGTTATTATTGAAAGAATTAGAGTTAAGACAGAATGTAGAATTGCAGATGAGAAAAAAGGTTTTAGAGTGGTTAGGGGATGTGTAGATCAAGTGTTTACATTGAAGCATAGGTAATACATATTTTAAGAAAAAGAGGATAAATAAGTATACACGATATGATGTAGGGCGAAATGACAGTAGTTTGTTGGATTATGTATTGGTAGATAAAAGACTGTTGAGTAGACTTCAGGATGTACATGTTTATAGAGGGGCCACAGATATATCAGATCACTTTCTAGTTGTAGCTACACTGAGAGTAAAAGGTAGATGGGATACAAGGAGAATAGAAGCATCAGGGAAGAGAGAGGTGAAGGTTTATAAACTAAAAGAGGAGGCAGTTAGGGTAAGATATAAACAGCTATTGGAGGATAGATGGGCTAATGAGAGCATAGGCAATGGGGTCGAAGAGGTATGGGGCAGGTTTAAAAATGTAGTGTTGGAGTGTTCAGCAGAAGTTTGTGGTTACAGGAAAGTGGGTGCAGGAGGGAAGAGGAGTAATTGGTGGAATGATGATGTAAAGAGAGTAGTAAGGGAGAAAAGTTAGCATATGAGAAGTTTTTACAAAGTAGAAGTGATGCAAGGAGGGAAGAGTATATGGAGAAAAAGAGAGAGGTTAAGAGAGTGGTGAAGCAATGTAAAAAGAGAGCAATGAGAGATGTGGGTGAGATGTTATCAACAAATTTTGTTGAAAATAAGAAAAAGTTTTGGAGTGAGATTAACAAGTTAAGAAAGCCTAGAGAACAAATGGATTTGTCAGTTAAAATAGGAGAGGAGAGTTATTAAATGGAGAGTTAGAGGTATTGAGGAAGATGGAGGGAATATTTTGAGGAATTGTTAATGTTGATGAAGATAGGGAAGCTGTGATTTCGTGTATAGGGCAAGGAGGAATAACATCTTGTAGGAGTGAGGAAGAGCCAGTTGTGAGTGTGGGGGAAGTTCGTGAGGCAGTAGGTAAAATGAAAGGGGGTAAGGCAGCCGGGATTGATGGGATAAAGATAGAAATGTTAAAAGCAGGTGGGGATATAGTTTTGGAGTGGTTGGTGCAATTATTTAATAAATGTATGGAAGAGGGTAAGGTACCTAGGGATTGGCAGAGAGCATGCATAGTTCCTTTGTATAAAGGCAAAGGGGATAAAAGAGAGTGCAAAAATTATAGGGGATAAGTCTGTTGAGTGTACCTGGTAAAGTGTATGGTAGAGTTATAATTGAAAGAATTAAGAGTAAGACGGAGAATAGGATACCAGATGAACAAGGAGGCTTTAGGAAAGGTAGGGGGTGTGTGGACCAGGTGTTTACAGTGAAACATATAAGTGAACAGTATTTAGATAAGGCTAGAGAGGTTTTTGTGGCATTTATGGATTTGGAAAAGGCGTATGACAGGGTGGATAGGGGGGCAATGTGGCAGATGTTGCAAGTGTATGGTGTAGGAGGTAGGTTACTGAAAGCAGTGAAGAGTTTTTACGAGGATAGTGAGGCTCAAGTTAGAGTATGTAGGAAAGAGGGAAATTTTTTCCCAGTAAAAGTAGGCCTTAGACAAGGATGTGTGATGTCACCGTGGTTGTTTAATATATTTATAGATGGGTTGTAAGAGAAGTAAATGCGAGGGTCTTGGCAAGAGGCGTGGAGTTAAAAGATAAAGAATCACACACAAAGTGGGAGTTGTCACAGCTGCTCTTTGCTGATGGACACTGTGCTCTTGGGAGATTCTGAAGAGAAGCTGCAGAGATTGGTGGATGAATTTGGTAGGGTGTGCAAAGAAGAAAATTAAAGGTGAATACAGGAAAGAGTAAGGTTATGAGGATAACAAAAAGATTAGGTGATGAAAGATTGAATATCAGATTGGAGGGAGAGAGTATGGAGGAGGTGAACGTATTCAGATATTTGGGAGTGGACGTGTCAGCGGATGGGTCTATGAAAGATGAGGTGAATCATAGAATTGATGAGGGAAAAAGAGTGAGTGGTGCACTTAGGAGTCTGTGGAGACAAAGAACTTTGTCCTTGGAGGCAAAGAGGGGAATGTATGAGAGTATAGTTTTACCAACGCTCTTATATGGGTGTGAAGCGTGGGTGATGAATGTTGCAGCGAGGAGAAGGCTGGAGGCAGTGGAGATGTCATGTCTGAGGGCAACGTGTGGTGTGAATATAATGCAGAGAATTCGTAGTTTGGAAGTTAGGAAGAGGTGCGGGATTACCAAAACTGTTGTCCAGAGGGCTGAGGAAGGGTTGTTGAGGTGGTTCGGACATGTAGAGAGAATGGAGCGAAACAGAATGACTTCAAGAGTGTATCAGTCTGTAGTGGAAGGAAGGCGGGGTAGGGGTCGGCCTAGGAAGGGTTGGAGGGAGGGGGTAAAGGAGGTTTTGTGTGCGAGGGGCTTGGACTTCCAGCAGGCATGCGTGAGCGTGTTTGATAGGAGTGAATGGAGACAAATGGTTTTTAATACTTGACGTGCTGTTGGAGTGTGAGCAAAGTAACATTTATGAAGGGATTCAGGGAAACCGGCAGGCCGGACTTGAGTCCTGGAGATGGGAAGTAGAGTGCCTGCACTCTGAAGGAGGGGTGTTAATGTTGCAGTTTAAAAACTGTAGTGTAAAGCACTCTTCTGGCAAGACAGTGATGGAGTGAATGATGGTGAAAGTTTTTCTTTTTCGGGCCACCCTGCCTTGGTGGGAATCGGCCAGTGTGATAATAATAATAAAAAAAAATTTAGATAAAGGTAGGGAAGTTTTTACTGCATTTATGGATTTAGAAAAGGCATATATTAGAGACGATAGGGGAGCAATATGGCAGATGTTGCAAGTACGTGCATGTATATGGAATAGGTGCTAAGTTACTAAATGCTGTAAAGAGTTTTTATGAGGATAGTGAGGCTCAGTTTAGGGTGTGTAGAAGAGAGGGAGACTACTTTCTGGTAAAAGTAGGTCTTAGACAGGGATGTGTAATGTCACCATGGTTGTTTAATATATTTATAGATGGGGTCGTAAAAGAAGTAAATGCTAGGGTGTTCGGGAGAGGGGTGGGATTAAATTATGGGGAATCAAATTCAAAATGGGAATTGACACAATTACTTTTTGCTGATGATACTGTGCTTATGGGAGATTCTAAAGAAAAATTGCAAAGGTTAGTGGACGAGTTTGGGAATGTGTGTAAAGGTAGAAAGTTGAGGGTGAACATAGAAAAAAAGCAAGGTGATGAGAGTATCAAATGATTTAGATAAAGAAAAATTGGATATCAAATTGGGGAGGAGGAGTATGGAAGAAGTGGATGTTTTCAGATAAGTGGGAGTTGACATGTCAGTGGATGGATTTATGAAGGATGAGGTTAATCATAGAATTGATGAAGGAAAGAAGGTGAGTGGTGCATTGAGGTATATGCGGAGACAAAAAATGTTATCTATGGAGGCAAAGAAGGGAATGTATGAAAGTATAGTAGTACCAACACTCTTATATGGGTGTGAAACTTGGGTTGTAAATGCTACAGCGAGGAGGCGGTTGGAGGCAGTGGAGATGTCCTGTCTAAGGGCAATGTGTGGTGTAAATATTATGCAGAAAATTCGGAGTGTGGAAATTAGGAGAAGGTGTGGAGTTAATAAAAGTATTAGCCAGAGGGCTGAAGAGGGGTTATTGAGGTGGTTTGGTTATTTAGAGAGAATGGATCAAAGCAGAATGACATGGAGAGCATATAAATCTGTAGGGGAAGGAAGGCGGGGTAGGGGTTGTCCTCGAAAAGGTTGGAGGGGGTAAGGAGCTTTTGTGGGCGAGGGGCTAGGACTTCCAGCAAACGTGCATGTGTGTGTTAGATAGTGAATGGAGACAAATGGTATTTGGGACCTGATGAGCTGTTGAAGTGCGAGCAGGATAATATTTATTGAAGAGATTCAGGGAAACTGGTTATTTTTATATAGCCGGACTTGAGTCCTGGGAATGGGAAGTACAGTGCCTGCACTTTAAAGGAGGGGTTTGGGATATTGACAGTTTGGAGGGATATGTTGTGTATCTTTGTACGTATATGCTTCTAAACTGTTGTATTCTGAGCACCTCGGCAAAAACAGTGATTATGTGTGAGTGAGGTGAAAGTGTTGAATTATGATGAAAGTATTTTCTTTTTGGGGATTTTCTTCTTTTTGGGTCACCCTGCCTCGGTGGGAGACGGCCGACTTGTTAAAAAAAAAAAAATTAAATATGGTCCTAGGTAGTAGGTTGGTAGTCAGCAACTGTCCAGGGAGGTACTACCATCCTGCCAAGTGAGTGTAAAATGCAAGCCTGTATAATTGTTTTACATGATGGTAGGATTCCTGGTGTCTTTTTTTTTTTTTGTCTCATAAACATGCGAGATTTCAGGTATGTCTTGCTACTTCTACTTGCACTAAGGTCACACTATACATGCATGTACAAGCAGATATATACACACCCCTCTGGGTTTTCTTCCATTTTCTTACTAGTTCTTCTTGTTTATTTCCACTTATCTCCATGGGGAAGTGGAACAGAATTCTTCCTCTGTAAGCCATGAGTGTTGTAAGAGATGAGTAAAATGCCAGGAGCAAGGAGCAAGTAACCCCTTTTCCTGTATATTATTACGAGATTTAAAAGGAGAAACTTTCATTTTTCCTTTTGGGCCATCCTGCCTTGGTGGGATACGGCCAGTTTGTTGAAAGAAAAGAGAAGAATTAAATATGGTATAAAACTTTTTAAAGAAACTGAAATAAATATAGATAAAAGAATACTGTAGTGCACTGTAAGAAAATACAAGAGTAAATTGTAATTAACCCTTTCAGGGTGAAGACCCCTGATCTCAAACTTGTGCTCAGGGTTGAAGAATTTAAAAAAAAAAAATTGTTCTTTCTCATGAAATGATAGAGATTCTTTTTATGGAAAACTTTCAGAATTATGCACTTGCAAAGTTAGCAGTTCCAGCGATATTTGCGCATTAGCAATTTTGCCCGTTTTGAGCCCTATTTTCGGCCAATTCCATTGTTCCAAATACCATTCATCTCCATTCATTATCTAACACGCTCACACACGTTTGCTGAAGTCCTAGCCCCTCGCCCACAAAACCTCCTTTACCCCCTCCCTCCAACCTTATCGAGGACAACCCCTACCCCGCCTTCCTTCCCCTATAGATTTATACGCTCTCCATGTCATTCTACTTTGATCCATTCTCTCTAAATAACCAAAACACCTCAACAACCCCTCTTCAGCCCTCTGGCTAATACTTTTATTAACTCCACACCTCCTAATTTCCACACTCCGAATTTTCTGCATAATATTTACACCACACATTGCCCTTAGACAGGACATCTTCACTGCCTCCATCTGCCTCCTCGCTGTAGCATTTACAGCCCAAGCTTCACACCCATATAAGTGTTGGTACTACTCTACTTTCATGCATTTCCTTCTTTGCCTCCACAGATAACGATTTTTGTCTCCATATATACCTTAATGCACCACTCGCCTTTTTTTCTTCATCAATTCTGTGATATTTAATTGTAGTAAATAAATCACTAAACTGCTGTGTGTTTATAAATGAACTTGTGCACACAAGCCAAGTCAAGACAAGAGAATGTGATGTCTTTTATGAAACTTACCTTCAACAATATCAATGGGGACTTTAATGATGGACTCTGGATCCTCTTGTGCCACTTCTTCTATGTTGATACCTCCTTGGGCTGATGCAATGATGACTGGCCCCTAACAGAAGTAATACAAATGGGATGCTAGTTATACTTAGAATACATTAACTAGTTTATCTATAATAGTTACATTTATCTAAAATATAATATAGATATAGTAGACCCTTTTATTATATGGATTTATTTGGCATATTTTGGTTATTGCACTAGTGAAAATTTGAGGCACAATTTTATACAACACTTTTTTTTGCAGGCAAAAAAAAAAAAAAAAAATTCCCAGGGGGAAGACCTACTGCCATCCCCTAACACCTCCGACACTCCTGCCACCCCCATCCCAGTCTTCATGAATACATGTCCAGTACTATTCTCTCCTAGGAGCTAGCTGTGTTTGTGAATTGAGTTTTGATCTTTTAATTGCCGTATCTTTTATCTGCCAAGCAATCATGGCACCCAGTAGGCATACGAGTGTTGCTGAAAGAGGTAAGAACAAGTATAAGCATTTAAGTCTTGGACTTACGAAGAAAATAGAGATATTAGACAAGAGAGCCTAAGGCCTTAATGAAGCATGTTTGTACATTTAAAAAAATGAGGTAAACATACGAGTTTGTGTGATGAACGACTGACTTGCTTAACTGACTTATTTGACCAACTTACTGACTTGACTGACTTATTTTACTTACTGTTTTACATGACTGACTTACTGACTTGATTGACTTACTGACTTAAAGTTAGAATTTTTCACTGAGGAGAACCCTGACAAATCTAGCAGTGCTTTGAAACAGTGTCTAGAGCAGCTGATACCTTATCGTCAGCTGTATACGTAATGTACTGCATGGTAAAATAGTTCAGAAATCCATTACAGAATTTATGCACACTCCAGTACAGCCATCGACTTCAGTACCAGAACCTCTATCATCCACCTCAGCCCAGTAGGGCCACTCTCTTCACAGTCATTGACAAATGCAGGCACTCACAATTAAAGGTAAGAAATACTATTATTTCTGTTGCATTAGTAGTCTTAAGCAGTAAAAACAACATAATACATCATGACACTAACAACAATTAAATATTCACTTTTATTTTTGTAAGAGCTGGAGGTCAAAAAAAAAAAAAAGCTGTCTGGCTTTTTTGGGGCTCCCAGGAACATAACCCTATTTTTCCATAAGTTCTTCAGTTTAACACGAATTTATCTAACACGGAATTTCAGGAGCGTAACTACCATGTAATATAAGGATCTACTGTATCTACACTTTTATATACGGCGGGTTAGGTTCCAGGCTGTCGCCGGAAAGCAGACATCGCCGGAAGGCAGAACTCCATTTTTTTCCATTTATAAATGCATATAAATGCCAGACAACAAGTTTACACTAAATTATATTAAGTTAGTAATAGAACCAGGCATTAAAAACACACAAAGTAAAATACAGTCACAGTAAATTCATTACTTATCTTAAAGTATTTGTAATCTTAATGTAGGGAGAGTGGTGAGTAGTACTTATTTGTAAGAAGTCAGGTGCAGGTAGCCCAGGTGTAGGTAGCTCTGACTCCCCATCTCATACTTAATATACGATATTTAAAATATCCCAGAGAGGTAAAATGCACATACAGTACACTCATTATTTACCTTAAAATATGTGTAGTCTTAATATAGTAAGAGAGGTGAGTAGTATTTATTTGTATAAAGTCAGTGTAGGTAGCCGGTAGGTGTAGCCCGCCTGTGCTACACCTACCGGCTACCTACACTGTGGCCCAGAGCCATATTATTAACATCGACATGCCTTGTTCACTGAATTTAATCATTTCTAACAACTACCTTTAGATGCCATCATAAACGAAGGTAGAAGTAATGAATAATTCATGCCGAAAATTGTAAACAAAAGTGGAGTGGGGGAGTGGCTGGGCCAAACACAGATTCATACATGTTTTCTCTGATGGCTAAACAGAGAAAACGTAATGTTGTCCCTCCACCCGGCTCCACAAGTATTATTATCAGAGCATATAAAATATGCAATAAATGACAGACAACAAGTTTACACTAACTTATATTAAGTTAGCAATAGAAATAGGGATTAAAAACACAATAAAAGGTAAGATACACACAGAGTACACTTATTATTCACCTTAAAATATTAATATTAATGTGTGAGAGGTGAGTGGCAGGGTGTTTATTGAATAACATCAAAATGGCACACCAACATCCTCTAACTTGGCACTTAAAGCAAGAAGCTTATGACTTCTCTTTTTATTACAGCTAACCTTAGACACCATCGTCAATGAGAGCCAACTAGTTAACGAAAGAGTAAACGAGAGAGAGAACGAGATACAGAGTTCAGACAATGTAAGAACACAAACTGAACAGGTAGTGGACGATCACTTGTCAGGAAAAATAAATGCGTATTAATATATGTCTACTTTTAGTTCATTCACGTCCATTTGTAAGAGTTTGTGAAACATTTACCTCAATATTTTTTTTATTTTAATAATAATTACCTCACAATACAAATACTCTTACATTGTGTACAAGTTGTACAAGTTAGTTCAGAATAAACAAACAGCAACACACCACTTTTAGAGTGAATGAAGATAATAATATTAATAATAATAAATATTATTATTATTATTAATTTATTATTTTTTTTTTATTATCACACCGGCCGATTCCCACCAAGGCAGGGTGGCCCGAAAAAGAAAAACTTTCACCATCATTCACTCCATCACTGTCTTGCCAGAAGGGTGCTTTACACTACAGTTTTTAAACTGCAACATTAACACCCCTCCTTCAGAGTGCAGGCACTGTACTTCCCATCTCCAGGACTCAAGTCCGGCCTGCCGGTTTCCCTGAACCCCTTCATAAATGTTACTTTGCTTACACTCCAACAGCACGTCAAGTATTAAAAACCATTTGTCTCTATTCACTCCTATCAAACACGCTCACGCATGCCTGCTGGAAGTCCAAGCCCCTCGCACACAAAACCTCCTTTACCCCCTCCCTCCAACCTTTCCTAGGCCGACCCCTACCCCGCCTTCCTTCCACTACAGACTGATACACTCTTGAAGTCACTCTGTTTCGCTCCATTCTCTCTACATGTCCGAACCACCTCAACAACCCTTCCTCAGCCCTCTGGACAACAGTTTTGGTAATCCCGCACATCCTCCTAACTTCCAAACTACGAATTCTCTGCATTTTATTCACACCACACATTGCCCTCAGACACGACATCTCCACTGCCTCCAGCCTTCTCCTCGCTGCAACATTCATCACCCATGCTTCACACCCATATAAGAACGTTGGTAAAACTATACTCTCATACATTCCCCTCTTTGCCTCCAAGGACAAAGTTCTTTGTCTCCACAGACTCCTAAGTGCACCACTCACCCTTTTCCCTTCATCAATTCTATGATTCACCTCATCTTTCATAGACCCATCCGCTGATACGTCCACTCCCAAATATCTGAATACATTCACCTCCTCCATACTCTCTCCCTCCAATCTGATATCCAATCTTTCATCACCTAATCTTTTTGTTATCCTCATAACCTTACTCTTTCCTGTATTCACTTTTAATTTTCTTCTTTTGGACACCCTACCAAATTCATCCACCAATCTCTGCAACTTCTCTTCAGAATCTCCCAAGAGCACAGTGTCATCAGCAAAGAGCAACTGTGACAACTCCCACTTTATGTGTGATTCTTTATCTTTTAACTCCACGCCTCTTGCCAAGACCCTCGCATTTACTTCTCTTACAACCCCATCTATAAATATATTAAACAACCACGGTGACATCACACATCCTTGTCTAAGGCCTACCTTTACTGGGAAATAATTTCCCTCTTTCCTACATACTCTAACTTGAGCCTCACTATCCTCGTAAAAACTCTTCACTGCTTTCAGTAACCTACCTCCTACACCATACATCTGCAACATCTGCCACATTGCCCCCCTGTCCACCCTGTCATACGCCTTTTCCAAATCCATAAATGCCACAAAGGCCTCTTTAGCCTTATCTAAATACTGTTCACTTATATGTTTCACTGTAAACACCTGGTCCACACACCCCCTACCTTTCCTAAAGCCTCCTTGTTCATCTGCTATTATTATAATTAATATTATTATTAATATTAATTATAATAATATTATTAATTAATAATAATAATTATTATTATTTATTATAAAAAGCACTAAACCCACAAGGGTTGTGAATTTCTATACATAGAGTAAAGGCATACGAAAAGAATATTTTTCTACAGTTATCCCCCAGTGTTTGACTAGAGAAAACATAATTCTTCTGACACTACCTACACAGCTGCTTTGTAAACAAATCTCATATTTACATCAATTTTTATTGAGTGTATGTATCATATTTATATGCTATGTAATGGGTTTCATATATAATTTTGAGGAAAATATCATAGACGGATTAATGAAAATGCCTATATTGATGTAAAATAAGACATTTAGTGTGCCCAAGAGTGATTATTATTACGTAGTATTGGCGTCATGAGTAGAGAGAGACTTAGCGATTTTAATGTGTACCTGCACACCAGCACAGTGTGTAAGTATAATTAGGTACAGGTACACAAGCATAATTATCAGAGTAAGATAAGATAAGATAAGATAAGATTTCGTTCGGATTTTTAACCCCGGAGGGTTAGCCACCCAGGATAACCCAAGAAAGTCAGTGCGTCATCGAGGACTGTCTAACTTATTTCCATTGGGGTCCTTAATCTTGTCCCCCAGGATGCGACCCACACTAGTCAACTAACACCCAGGTACCTATTTGCTGCTAGGTGAACAGGACATCAGGTGTAAGGAAACGTGTCGAAATGTTTCCACCCGCCGGGAATCGAACCCGGGCCCTTCGTGTGTGAAGCGGGAGCTTTAGCCACCAGGCCACCGGGCCACCGTACATATAAAATATGCAGTAACTTTAAAACACTTGAAATTTTGGAAAGTTTCCTGACATAATAGATGTGGTCACGGAAAATGTAAATAAACCGGGTGGGGGGCGCCGTATTTAAAAGACCGCTTGCCATATAGCAAATTTTGGTCATAATCTGACATCGCCGTATTAGCGGAATGCCGTAAAGCGGGGCCTTACTGTACATACTAAACAAATATTTAAGCTTACACCAAAAGACCTCTCCATCATGATAGCCAAGTAGAACTCGCGACGTGGAAATTTCCGTTCACACACCATGACCTTGTTGCAGGGAACTCCTTTTGCACCAGTTTGCTTGGTTATAAGCTGATCCCCAATCATCTTTGATGCCACTTCTCCAGCTTCTTCTGCCCTGTTTATTAGAAGTATTTCATCACATTAGATATAGAAATTGCTTTCATTCCTTCATGAATTAATTTCTTAACCATTCTTGCAAAATAGTGGCCAGCTTTTCAGAGTTGTTTCAAATAAAATACAGAACAGCTTCTTAAGCAATTTTTTTGTTAATTCTCAATATTCATTGCATATATCACATTTGAATGTTCAAATCTAGAACAATCCAAAATAATCTGTTTTTAATGTATGTACAGGACTGTATTCAGCTTTTCCAAAGAAATTTATTGTAATGGAACTACCTGGAGGTTATTCCGGGGATCAACGCCCCCGCGGCCCGGTCCATGACCAGGCCTCCCGATGGATCAGGGCCTGATCAACTAGGCTGTTACTGCTGGCCGCACGCAGTCCAATGTACAAGCCACAGTCCGGCTGATCCGGCACTGACTTTAGGTATCTGTCCAGCTCTCTCTTGAAGGCAGCCAGGGGCTTATTGGCAATTCCCCTAATGCTTGATGGGAGGCTGTTGAACAGTTTTGGGCCCCAGACACTTATGGTGTTTTCCCTTAGTGTACCGATGGCGCCCCTACTTTTTATTGGGGGCATTTTGCATCGCCTGCCCAGTCTTTTACTTTCGTAGGGAGTGATTTCTGTGTGCAGATTTGGGACCATTCCTTCCAAGATTTTCCAAGTGTAGATTATGATATCTCTCTCCCTCCTGCATTCCAACGAGTACAAGTCAAGTGCTTCCAAGCGTTCCCAGTAGTTAAGGTGCTTGACAGAACTTATACGTGCAGTAAAGGATCTCTGTACACTCTCTAGATCTGCAATTTCACCTGCTTTGAATGGAGATGTTAATGTACAGCAGTATTCCAGCCTAGAGAGAACAAGTGATTTGAAAAGGATCATCATTGGCTTGGCATCTCTCGTTTTGAAAGTTCGCGTTATCCATCCTATCATTTTCTCTGCACGTGCGATCGTGGCACTGTTGTGATCCTTGAAAGTGAGATCCTCAGACATTACTACTCCCAGGTCCCTTACATTATTTTTCCGCTCTATTGTATGGCCGGAGTCAGTAGTATACTCTGTTCTAGTTATTATCTCCTCCAGTTTTCCATAACGGAGTAGTTGGAATTTGTCCTCATTGAACATCATATTGTTTAACCGTTGCCCAATGGAAAACTTTGTTTATATCTTTTTGGGAGGTTAACCGCGTCCTCAGCAGATGACAGCCTCATGCAGATCCTAGTATCATCCGCAAAGGATGATACAGTGCTGTGGTGTATATCTCTATGTCTGATATGAGGATAAGGAATAAGATGGGGGCGAGTACTGTGCCTTGTGGAACAGAGCTCTTCACTATGGCAGCCTCCGATTTAACTCTGTTGACCACTACTCTTTGTGTTCGATTTGTTAGGAAGTTGAAGATCCATCTCCCCACTTCCCCAGTTATTCCTTTAGCACGTATTTTATGGGCTATTACGCCATGATCGCATTTGTCAAATGCTTTTGCAAAGTCTGTGTATATTACATCTGTATTCTGATTTTCTTCCAGTGCATCCAAGGCCATGTCATAGTGATCCAGTAGTTGTGAGAGGCAAGAGCGACCTGCCCTGAACCCATGTTGCCCTGGATTGTGCAGATTTTGGGAATCCAGGTGATTTGCAATCCTGCTTCTTAGCACTCTTTCAAAAGATTTTTATGATGTGGGACGTCAGAGCTATTGGTCTATAGTTCTTAGCTAATGCTTTGCTGCCACCTTTATGGAGTGGGGCTATATCCGTTGTTTTAAGTGACTGTGGAATTTCACCCATGCCCAAGCTCCTCCTCCATAGCGTACTTAGGGCATGCGAGAGGGGTTTCTTGCAGTTCTTAATGAAAACAGAGTTCCAAGAGTCTGGGCCCAGGGCTGAGTGCATAGGCATGTTGTCAATGGCTTTTTCGAAATCTATCGAAGTTAGGGTAATGTCGGAAATCTGGCATACATTTATGGAGTTTTGAGGCTCATTCATGAAGAAATCATTTGGGTCGTCGATCCTCAGACCGATTAGTGGTTCACTAAACACAGTCATACTGGGATTTCAATATTTCACTCATTTCCTTGTTGTCATCTGTGCAAGTCCCGTCCTGTCTGAGTAAGGGCCCGATACTAGATGTGGTATTTGCCTTGTTTTTGGCATATGAAAAGAAGTATTTTGAATTTCTTTCAATTTCACTAATAGCTTTAAGCTCCTGCCTCTCCTGGTTCCTGTAAGAGTCATTTAACTTAAGTTCGATAGTTTCCACTTCCCTGGTCAGCGCCTCCTTTCGTGTATCAGATATTCTAGCACTCCTGAGGAGCTCATTGACTCTTCGTCGTCTTCTGTAGAGGGAGCGTCTTTCTCTCTCCAGTTTACTCCTGCTCTTCTTCATTCTTAGGGGAATATGCCTAGAACATGCTTCGGCTGCCAGGAAGTTGATCCTTTCAAGGCACTGGTTTGGATCCATGTCATTTAAGACATCTTCCCAACATGTTTCATTTAGGACATGGTTTATCTGGTCCCAGTTGATGTTCTTGTTGTTGAAGTTGTATTTTGTGAAGACACCTTCACAGGTACATGCATTCTGCTGATCAGGACCCCTATGCGTGTACATCTGGACTTCGATTAGGTTGTGATCGGAATTAGTTGTTTTTTATATTCTTATGTCTCTTATCAGGTCCTCATTATTTGTGAAGGTAAGGTCAAGTGTGTTTTCTAGTCTTGTTGGCTCCACTATCTGCTGGCTTAAGGTGTGTTTTTCACAGAGACTTAGTAGCTCATGTGTGTGTGACCTTTCATCTGCGCTACCTCCGGGGATTGTTTCAGCTATAACATTATTTGCTACATTCTTCCATTTTGTATGCCTTAGGTTGAAATCACCAAGCAGTAAGATGTTTGGGGATGGAGCTGGAAGGTTTTCCAAACAGTAGTAATCAATTTTCAGTAGCTGTTCCTTGAACTGTTGTGAGGTTGCATCTGGTGGCTTGTATACAACCACAATGACTAGGTTTTGGTTCTCGATCTTCATTGATAGAACTTCAACTACCTCATTTGTGGTGTTCAGCAACTCCATGCAGATAAGGGACTCTTTGGCATACAGGCCAACCCCCCCTCGTTGCCTGTTTTTTGTCGCACCTAAAATGGTTGTAACCACTTATCCATATTTCAATGTTAAAGTGATCTTTTGTGCGAGTCTCTGTGAAGGCTGCAAACATTACATTAGACTCCTCTAGAAGTCCACTGATAAAAGGTATTTTGTTGTTGGTGGATGGCTTAAGGCCCTGTATATTAGCAAATATGAACGAGGTTGTATTCTGTGTTTGTTGGGGGGATTTTGTTATTGGCATCAGTAGTTGTAATTCTGGAGGGCCATGGGTGGCCACTGGCTGCACCTCCAGTCCAACAAGGCTCCGAGGTGGACTATTTTTGTTATTTCCTTCCATTTTCTTTTCCCGTTTCCTGCCACTAAAAAATCACCTCGAGTTGGGTTGTCGTAGCTACTATTGTTTGTCTTGTGGGGTCTGTGCCTCCTGGTCCCTTTTAGATGGTATGCAGGGCAGTCGATGTTGTAACACTGCTTCTGGAGGACCGAGGAGTGGCACATTTTTGGGTGAAAGAAAGTACAGGAAGAACGACACACTCCTTTAGACAGGAGGTCGCTACATTTTTTGGGATGCTCAAAGTTGCATGTCCCTTTTTTTTTTCCTGTTATTCCATGCTTACAGATGCCCCAAGCATAATATTTGCACAAATTCACCTTTGGTTGAGAATTGTTGGGAGGTGTGTTGTCAATTTCTGCAGGTTCTGGGACTGCACTATAATCCTCAGTATCCAAGCCAGGGCCACCCCGTCCTGGATTCCATCTACTTTTCCCAGTAGAGGAAGGAGGAGACTCCTTATCATATACATCAGCCTGCTTGACTGCAAGCCATGTTTCTTCCTAGCACAAAGTACACCAGTGAGCTTCAACCATGGTCGCCAGCTATTTCATTCTCTTCTTTTATGTTCTGGCATCACGCGCGATGCTATACTCAATGCATCTCACAGAAATAAGTGAAAGTACATACAAAGAAATATTGCAGCCTGCAAGATTTGAATCCACACTGGACACTATCCATAAGTGTGGCTTAGCTCCCAATGTGACTCCTTAAACCACTTAAGCTACAGATGACACAAAACGTTAAGTAGACTGCTTCATTGCAAGCCATGTTACTTACTTAAAAGGGAATCCTTCCTGACCGCAAATCCTTCCTAATGTTAAATCCTGCTGACTGCTATATTTTTTTGTACACACTTTCGCTTGCTTCTGCCAAGTGCATACATACATACAAAATTATTATTATATTTTTTATATTTTTATAAATATTTAGAGCATGTCTTCTATTCATTTTTGACACAAATTTAAGTTAATTTACTTTTCAGAAGTTACCTGCAAACTAGTTTATTCATATACTGTATTACACAGCCATGTAATCCTACCATGGCATAAATTATTTACAGTATCATTTTCTTGAGACCAAAACCTACAAATTACTTTTTTCTTTTTTTACACAAATCAATTTTACAGGCTGAGCTGTTATCATACCTCAGCTCATTTCAAAGCCCAGCATTATCTCGGGCATACTACCACACCCCAGGATGCAACCCACAACAGTAGACTAACACCCAGGTACCTACTTACTACTAGGTGAACACTGGAACATGCCCAACATTTCCACCCATGCCTGGGATCAAACCACAGACACTCAGTATGTGAGCCAACTGCACTGCTTAATAACCCACAAAAGGTCCAAACGTATATATATATGTGTTTTTCAACATTTGAAAGTATGTAAAAAAAAGTAATCTTTTTTTTATACATTTGAAAACATGTAAAAAAACTTTGATCTACTTTTTTTTTGTTATATTTGAAAATATGTAAAAAAACATAGATCTACTTCTGGAACACTACGCATGTGAACGCAGATCTGCTTGGACCGTTTACGGGTTAAAGTTCAAACTACCACTATAAATGAAAACAGTAAACCACAGGACTAAAAGATACTTACGAGTAAACTAACTTAACGCCACCTTTAAAACCACCCTTAAAATTGCCTTTTCCACGCCCACCAGCGAGAACTTGAGCCTTAACAACAACATCAGTAGAATCCAGTTGGTTGGCTATTTCAACAGCTTCTTCTTTAGTATGGGCAACACCAAATCCAGGAACAGGAATGCCAGATTTTTTCAGGAGTGAGAAGCTGACATGTTCATGAACATTCAAGTGACGCCTTTGTTGAATTCCAGCCAGAGGACCAACTGCTGCACTGTTTACTATCTGTTAGTGTTAAAAGGGGGTACACATTATTATTATTATTATTATTATTATTATTATTATTATTATTATTATTATTATTATTATATTATTAGTATTATATTATTATTATTATTATTATTATTATTATTATTATTATGGTGAAGCACCAAACTGGTAACTGTCATACAATGCCTCATGAGGTACATGTAGTTAAAAACTAAATTACAACTTCCTTCACTGATCTTTACAATTTTTCCTTTTTTTACTAGTAATAGTTACTAAAATTATTAAGAATTTAAAACTTAGTCATTGGTACACACCAACATTGCCACAGCACTTACAGTATTGTACTATACTGTATTGAACAAAGATTTAAAATATAAAAGAAAATTGCCAATTAAAAACTATTCTCAGCACTTTACCTTGGCCAAGAGTGTGAAACTACAGACAATAGAAATTATTTAATTTTCTTTTTATACTTAAGTTATTTCAAAAACACACAAGTGAAGTTATTACAATGATGCACATCAGATTCATTAATGCTCTTGATCTTTGGCTGCAGCTTTGTTATGGAGCAGAATGTGGCAGTTATTAGCCATGATGTTGCTGCTCCCCCCTCTATAACACTGACTTTTTAAAAAAAGAGGAAACTTAATGCAAAAAAAAAAACAATTGATTAAAAGTTTTTGATTTTTTTTGGTGAGCAATGATGCCGGTTACTTAAAAAAAGGTGCAAAATCTTTGATCATAAAAATAATGTCATGAATTGTTATGGATAGACTATTTTTAATTGAAATACAGAATTTTTTAAACGGATGACCTAAATTTAAGGATATAATAAAGTCTTCTGTTACTAATCAATTATCAAATAAATTACTAAAAAAAAACCCCCAAAAAATCAGACAAGGGGACTTTTTTTCCAGGGAGCCTAGCAAATGGGTTTTTCATTTCCCCTTTGTCCCATACTGGTATTTTTAAACCCTGATAAAATTTTCTAAAAAGAAATAAGTATTTTGGGCTGGTGCCCTCTATGGCCCCCCAAGGGAAAAAACCACCACACTGAAATTAAGTCTCAATGTTTGACTTCCTTGGGTTATCCTAGGTTAAATTCTACTTAATTTACTATACAAATATAATTTTAAGGGTTTAATATTTTGAAATTTATTTAAATTGAACTTAAGTATTGTTTTTAAAACCAATCAGAGAATCAACTGAAGTTATTTTTAGGTTAAGCTTGTTAATTCTATAAAAAAAAGGATCAATCACATTCACTTTGAAGCGCTAAACTTGTAGGGACCATGTAATGGGAAATAATGGGAGGGTAGTGGGAGGTAATCAGGTTGAACCTAAAAGCGTAGGTTGCTAAAATTCATTGAATCAAGAGCCCTCCAATAGCATCAAGGTATCATCCCAGCCTCTCTTCCCTGCATGACTATAAAAACCAATGGAGACAAAATGAGGAATTAGTAAGTAAGTAAGTAAGTTTATTCAGGTATACACAAATACAGTTACATAGAATTATCATACATAGCAGCATGTGTGTAGAGAACCTACAATTATTCTACAATGAAGATAACATCTTATTATCATACTAAAAAGACTATCTACTACACCAAGGTCATTAAGACTATCTACAATACGTGAGTCATTACTAGGAATATGGTAAAATTTACACGTATGTTAGCTAAAAAATAGAAAATCATTCCCCTCCCTTTCTGTAGCTACATTCATCAGACATTTGTAACATTCACTATTAATATTCAAAAATCTTGAGAAAAAATTTACATCTAAAAATAAAACAAACTAATGTAAATTTCAAAGTAAGTGGTAATACTTGCCTGAGCTGCTCTCCTAGCTAGAAGATTCTCAGCAAAGATAAATCCCCGGTACATTACCGCCGCCATCTTGCTGCTGGGACCGTTCAGCCTCAGCTGAGAGTCTGAGTGAGAGCTGCTGGATCACTGACATCTCTAACACATCCTCATACCTTATCACTAATATCTTTAAAATAAATAGTTTAATTTATATAAATACGAATGATGTGTGACGCATATATATTTATTTGTATGTATTTATAATTTGCATAGATTTTTTTGTTGGGTTGATGGGCTGTTACGGTCCGAAGGGATGAGCGGAAACATTGGGAAAGTTCCTTTACAAACCATACCACGGGCGGGGTTAGAACCCGCGATCAGAGTCTCAAAACTCCAGACCGTCGCGTTAGCCACTAGGCCAGCTAGCCACAATAAGATTCATCCAACTAGGTATATTTACACACCATATGAAGGTTAGCTAACCTTCATATGGTTTAGAAATATACCTAGTTGGATGAATCTTATCGTGGCTAGCTGGCCTAGTGGCTAACGCGACGGTCTGGAGTTTTGAGACTGATCGCGGGTTCTAACCCCGCCCGTGGTATGATTTGTTTGCAGTCGTGTTATTACGATTTCGTGAGTCATGTTAAAGTTCCTTTACACCTGCAGTCCTTGATACCTAGCAATAACTAGGTACCAGGGTAGTTTAATTGATGATAACTTGACATCGACAAGTGGTTTCAAAGGACACATGAGTAAACACAAGGTCATATTTATTAGACTCATATTCCGGATGATAATAATAATAATATAATATCTTTATTTCTACGAGTACATGTACAAGGTATACAGGCCTAGCTGATATCAATGACATACTACTCTATAAAAAGGAGCTTGTTATGCTGAGCATTTCGGGCAAATTAGGTCAGTTTTGTCCCAGGATGCGACCCACACCAATCGACTAACACCCAGGTACCCAGTTTACTGATGGGGAACATAGATAACCGGTGTAAGGAAACACGTCCCATGTTTCTACCCCTTCGTCGGGAATTGAACCCGGACCCTCACCGTGGGAAGTTGTCAGTTTAATATCTTTATTATGCACCCCATACCCATCCTGTGGGCGGTAATCAACAGATTACAGAGGTACATAATGGGTCCAGGGACTGGACCCCATTTATGATAGCTGAACTAGTTACAAAGGTAATGAACTCCAGGTAGATCTGGTCACAATCATGACAAGTTACAATAATAATGAACGATCTACACTCCTATACATTGTTACAATCATGAACAAATTACAAAGTAATGAGCCACTGACACGTCCACACCCGGTCACAATTGTAATGAGTTAAAATACAAATATTAGGTAGGTTATACACCCACACGAGCGCGCACACACACAAGCACGCATACCTGGAGAGGGTTTCGGGGGTCAACGCCCCCGCGGCCCGATCTGAGACCAGGCCTCATGGTGGATCAGGGTCTGATCAACCAGGCTGTTACTGCTGGCCGCACGCAAGTTGACGTACGAACCACAGCCCGGTTGGTCAGGTACTGACTTTACGTGCCTGTCCAGTGCCTTCTTGAAGACAGCCAGGGGCCTATTGGTAATCCCCCTCATGTATGCTGGGAGGCAATTGAACAGTCTTGGGCCCCGGACACTTATTCTGTTGTCTCTCAGTGTACTCGTAGCACCCCTGCTTTTCATCGGGGAAATGTTGCATCTCCTGCCGAGTCTTTTGCTTTCATATGGAGTGATTTTCGTGTGCAGGTTTGGTACCAATCCCTCTAGAACCTTCCAAGTGTATATTATCATGTATCTCTCTCGCCTGCGTTCGAGGGAATAAAGATCAAGGACCTTCAACCGTTCCCAGTAGTTTAGGTGCCTTATCGCTCATATGTGCACACACGAGCGCATATGCATACACACACGAGGGTGCACGCACAGACAGACACAGACATAAGAACATAAGAAAGAAGGAACACTGCAACAGACCTATTGACCCATGCGGAGCAGGTCCATGTCCCCTTCCACCGGATTACCTGGAGTTTACCTGGAGAGAGTTCCGGGGGTCAATGCCCCCGCGGCCCGGTCTGTGACCAGGCCTCCTGGTGGATCAGAGCCTGATCAACCAGGCTGTTGCTGCTGGCTGCACGCAAACCAACGTACGAGCCACAGCCCGGCTGGTCAGGAACCGACTTTAGGTGCTTGTCCAGTGCCAGCTTGAAGACTGCCAGGGGTCTGTTGGTAATCCCCCTTATGTATGCTGGGAGGCAGTTGAACAGTCTCGGGCCCCTGACACTTATTGTATGGTCTCTTAACGTGCTAGTGACACCCCTGCTTTTCATTGGGGGGATGTTGCATCGTCTGCCAAGTCTTTTGCTTTCGTAGTGAGTGATTTTCGTGTGCAAGTTCGGTACTAGTCCCTCTAGGATTTTCCAGGTGTATATAATCATGTATCTCTCCCGCCTGCGTTCCAGGGAATACAGTTTTAGGAACCTCAAGCGCTCCCAGTAATTGAGGTGTTTTATCTCCGTTATGCGCGCCGTGAAGGTTCTCTGTACATTTTCTAGATCAGCAATTTCACCTGCCTTGAAAGGTGCTGTTAGTGTGCAGCAATATTCCAGCCTAGATAGAACAAGTGACCTGAAGAGTGTCATCATGGGCTTGGCCTCCCTAGTTTTGAAGGTTCTCATTATCCATCCTGTCATTTTTCTAGCAGATGCGATTGATACAATGTTATGGTCCTTGAAGGTGAGATCCTCAGACATGATCACTCCCAGGTCTTTGACGTTGGTGTTTCGCTCTATTTTGTGGCCAGAATTTGTTTTGTACTCTGATGAAGATTTAATTTCCTCGTGTTTACCATATCTGAGTAATTGAAATTTCTCATCGTTGAACTTCATATTGTTTTCTGCAGCCCACTGAAAGATTTGGTTGATGTCCGCCTGGAGCCTTGCAGTGTCTGCAATGGAAGACACTGTCATGCAGATTCGGGTGTCATCTGCAAAGGAAGACACGGTGCTGTGGCTGACATCCTTGTCTATGTCAGATATGAGGATGAGGAACAAGATGGGAGCGAGTACTGTGCCTTGTGGAACAGAGCTTTTCACCGTAGCTGCCTCGGACTTTACTCTGTTGACTACTACTCTGTGTTCTGTTAGTGAGGAAATTATAGATCCATCGACCGACTTTTCATGTTATTCCTTTAGCACGCATTTTGTGCGCTATTACACCATGGTCACACTTGTCGAAGACTTTTGCAAAGTCTGTATATATTACATCTGCATTCTTTTTGTCTTCTAGTGCATCTAGGACCTTGTCGTAGTGATCCAATAGTTGAGACAGACAGGAGCGACCTGTTCTAAACCCATGTTGACCTGGGTTGTGTAATTGATGGGTTTCTAGATATATGGTGATCTTGCTTCTTAGGACCCTTTCAAAGATTTTTATGATATGGATGTTAGTGATATCGGTCTGTAGTTCTTTGCTATTGCTTTACTGCCCCCTTTGTGGAGTGAGGCTATGTCTGTTGTTTTTAGTAACTGTGGGACGACCCCCGTGTCCATGCTCCCTCTCCATAGGATGGTAAAAGCTCGTGATAGGGGCTTCTTGCAGTTCTTGATGAACACGGAGTTTCATGAGTCTGGCCCTGGGGCAGAGTGCATGGGCATGTCATTTATCGCCTGTTCGAAGTCATTTGGCGTCAGGATAACATCAGATAGGTTTGTGTTAACCAAATTCTGTGGCTCTCTCATAAAAAAATCATTTTGATCTTCGACTCTCAGTCTGGTTAGCGGCTTGCTAAAAACTGAGTCATATTGGGACTTGAGTAGCTCACTCATTTCCTTTGCTGTCATCTGTGTAGGACCCATCTTGTTTAAGTAGGGGCCCAATACTGGACGTTGTTCTCGACTTTGATTTGGCATAGGAGAAGAAATGCTTTGGGTTTCTTTCGATTTCATTTATGGCTTTTAGTTCTTCCCGCGATTCCTGACTCCTGTAAGATTCCTTTAGCTTAAGTTCGATGCTTTGCTGTTTCTCTGACCAGTGTCTCCCTACGCATTTCAGATATATTGTCCTCTTGACTTAAGAAATCGTAATGACACGATTGCAAATAAACCATACCCCCGGCCGGGATTGAACCCGCGGTCATAGAGTCTCAAAACTCCAGCCCGTCGCGCTAGCCACTAGACCAGCTAGCCACAATAAGATTCATCCAACTAGGTATATTTCTACACCATAGGAAAGTTAGCACAGGCACCTCTGTGACCACAAATGCAAGTTTTTACAGACGAATCTCCAGCTAGCGTGGCCGTGACGAACTCTAGCTCAAGTCCCTTCACTGCCGTCAACATGACTTAAGAAATCGTAATGACACGATTGCAAATAAACCATACCCCCGGCCGGGATTGAACCCGGGTTCAATCCCGGCCGGGGGTATGGTTTATTTGCAATCGTGTCATTACGATTTCTTAAGTCATGTTGACGGCAGTGAAGGGACTTGAGCTAGAGTTCGTCACGGCCACGCTAGCTGGAGATTCGTCTGTAAAAACTTGCATTTGTGGTCACAGAGGTGCCTGTGCTAACTTTCCTATGGTGTAGAAATATACCTAGTTGGATGAATTTTATTGTGGCTAGCTGGTCTAGTGGCTAGCGCGACGGGCTGGAGTTTTGAGACTCTATGACCGCGGGTTCAATCCCGGCCGGGGGTATGGTTTATATTGTCCTCTTTTAGCCGCTCTGTTATTCTTTTCCGTCATAATTTGTGAGTTTAGCAATGTGAATGCTTTTGTTTTGGCACAATACAAAATGTCTATATTGGAGTATCATAGGCAAACTTATAACTAGTTATGATTTATATTTTAAGATTAAGATTAGTATTTCTGGGTTTATAGTCAGTGGATGAGTGAGTATAATTGTGAACCACTAGGTGGTTATCATGTAGTTAGTTGTCGAGGTGGATCAGGGAGTTAAGATGTTTTCTAACTGTAGTTTTGAAAGTGATGAATGTGTCTGCAGTTCTAGAGTTTTCAGGTAGGGTGTTCCAGATTTTAGGTCCTTTGACATACATTGAATTTTTGTAAAGGTTTAGTCGAACACGGGGAATGTCACAGAGATGTTTGTGTCTGGTGTTATGCCTGTGGATCATGTCACAACTATCAAGAAAGCGTTT